TGATGGCGTGACTGATAAATTTCGTCCACTTAAACACAAGCGAGTGAAGCGGAAATCCCAGTCCAAATGGTTTAATGACAACATCGCCGAGCAAATCAAAGCACGTGATAAACTTCTCACCAAAGCAAAGAAAAGCGGAACAGACAACGACTGGCTAAACTTCAGACGTGCGAAAAATAACGTAACTAACTTAATTAGGCAAACGAAGCAAGCATATTTCAAAAGCAAGTTCTCTGAAAACAGGTAAGAATCTCGAAAACTTTGGAATTTGATCAAATTCCTGTCAGGGAGTGACAATCACGATTGTGGTCTCCAGCGGCTCGTTGATAACGATGGGACTATTTCGAACAAAGTGGAAATTACCGGGACACGGAACAGCTTCTTTCTCAACCAGCAAAACAACATAAATCCCCAGTCAGAGCTAAAAGAAGACTTGCACTGTCAACCTAAGCAGGCACCCCCTCCTACGCCATATCAAGTGTCTGGAACGTTAAATCTCCCACATATATCAAAGGAAAGAGTTGTGGACCTTCTCCTTTCCGTTCCACTGCATAAAGCTATCGGTGACGACGGTGTAAGTGCCAAACTGCTGAGAATTGCAGCACCAGCCATCACGGATTCCCTCTGTAAGCTACTCAATTACTGCATCGACACTCAGACATTCCCAACAACGTGGAAAGTCGGTAAGGTGACCCACATTTACAAGGGACAAGGAAGTCATGATGACAAGAATAACTATCGACCGATAACTGTGCTTCCGATACTTTCTAAGCTATTTGAGAAGCACATTTGTGACCACTTCTATGACTTCCTTGAGGAAAATGCGTTACTCCATCACCTCCAGTCCGGATTCCACAAATTCCACTCCACCGAGACCGCCCTCATTCGACTAATCGACCAGCTGTTCTTTGACTTAGACAAAAGCAGAGCAACGGGGCTCGTATTTATTGACTACAAGAAAGCGTTTGACCTCATAGACCATGATCTACTTCTAACTAAACTGAATGTCTCCGGGATATGTGGTCGCGAACTGGACTTACCACGCAACTATCTGAGTGAACGCAAACAACACGTAGACATTGATTGATGTCGCTCTTCCCCAAGAACTGAGACGGCTGGAGTACCACAAGGGAGCATACTGAGCTTCATTATGTTTCTCCTTCTCATCAACCTTACCTACCTATCAGCTACCCTTGGCAGCTCAGCGTTCTACCGTTGGCATCTATGCGGATAACACCATTCTCAGTTTCTCATCCGACGTGACAGGTGGACTTCTTGGCATCACATTAGCCCTTCAACAAGACCTAGATGACCTTTCGCAGCGGTCGGCTGCCAACAAGATGGTCACATACGCCGCCAAGACGAAATGTCTCTTAGTGACCGGGAAACGCCTTACAAATGAGATCGTCGATAGTTCTTTAAATCTTCATCTTGGGAACTCAAATATAGAGCAGGTGGATAGTCAGAAACTCCTAAGACTTATTATTGACCGACGCTTAAGCTTTGATATTCAGGTTGAAGAACTTTGTAAAAACCTATCCCAAAGAATAGCACTGCTTAGGAAGATAATAAGATTCTTCTTCACTGAACAGCGCATATTATACTATAACGCAATGATAAAACAACTAATGTTATATGGATCAACTGTTTGGTCGAACTGTTCAAGTGACAACATAATGAGAGTCTTCAAGCTTCAAAAACGCGCTGCCCGAGTTTTCTTGGAAGCTGATACAAGGTCAAACAGCGTGAAACTCTTTAAAGAATTAGAGTGATTACCTTTTTATGACGAAGTCAAGTTAAATAAGAGCGTTTTAGGTTTTTTAAAGCGTTTACTAGGAAGCTGTCCTGTATACATGTACGATATACTTAAATTTAATGCAGACCATACACGAAGTGGTCGTTATAGTAAATTAAATCTCGCCTGCCCTAATTTCAATTGCGAAACCGAGGGAGGGAGGACCTTTAGTGTATCTGCGACAAGGCTGTGGAAGCAGCTACCTACTAACCTAAAAAAGGAGGCGACAACAGCTGCTTCTTTCAGAAAGGCCTTTCACAGACATTTTCTAACGAGCTACGATGAAGTAGAACATTTTAGTCCGAATGCGATAGTAAATTAAGTCTCACCCGCCCTCGTTTCAATCACGAAACCTAGGCGACCTAAGCGGCATATTTTATTTTAACCCGATCCAAGCGGCATTTTTTATTTTATATAGTTTTTAGCTTGCGTTCTTATAGACCTGTTTTATAATCCTCGAATTTGTTTTATATACATTTTAACTCTAATTATGGTACTTTTAGGATCGAGGGCCACAAGTTCAGCAGTTGAATTACTGTTATGTGTTACCCTCCTTAAATAAAGTTTTTATTATTATTATCATAATTATATGCGATGTACTTTCAGATGTCCTTTAGCCGACGGTTGAACGAGTGGCAGACAGTTAAAATTAACGAAACAATTCTGTGAAAATCTTCTTTTGAAACTAAAAGCAAAAAACTTAGATCTAGTCATCGAGCAGCTGCAAGGAAGAAATGTTTCGAAATTAGCATTTGATGACATCCTGGGAGTTTACCGACATATCAAAGACGTTTACGATGCAAAAGCAAAGGTGCTAAAGATGCCATTGCAGATGTGTTTGCCGATTTTCACCCCGTAAGAATATATTAATTATTTCCAATTACAAGTTCGTTGATGCAGATTGATATCCTGAATGGAGATAAGGGCGTTTTCTCCACTTCAGAGAAGAGCCAAATTGACGGATATTGTACCGACTGCAAAGTAAAAACAAAAATTTTTCAAATGACTGTTGAAATTTATTCATTTTAATGAAATTCTTGTCGCCTAACAGCTACAAAATTCTGCTTCACACCAAGGCCACTTAAAGAAAAGTGAGGTTGACAAATCATCCTAACATTAGCATGGGCTGCCTTTTGAAAAACGAATACTGTTTGGCGTTTCCAAATTTTTTTTTTTGAGTTTGCAGAAATTGTTTTGGACCTGATCTGACCAGAAATTAAAAGTTTTTTCATTGAAATGCAAGTTCATATTATATTATGTTATATGCCAAATAAAAGACATTTAAGAGGTTTCTAACTTCCGGATGGAAACTGAACGTTGTAGAGGATGTGCGCATCTTAACTAATCGATGTTATTCTTCTATTTTATTGATCCCCTTGAAGAAAATAGCAGCAGAAACAAAGCAACACATTGGTATCCTAAGGCAGCTAAAAGATTTCGACGAACGTGCAGCGAAAGACCTGGCAGCCAAAGCTTACATGGAGAGGGAAAGGAGACGACTTGAGATAAGTTAGTAGGATGATAATATTGCAGAAGAGTGCGGTGAGACTAGCGTTTGAAAAGGGTCAAAATGCCCCGATGGACTGAGAGTTACTTGAGACTGGGCGGTGGGTTGTGCGTGCTCCCATTAAACTAACCTCACGGTTGACTGCGTAGAGAAACAACAGGTTGACATTTTCGTGTGATAGGTCTTTTGGACTGCAAATGGGCCCAAGGGTGAAGCCTTCTGGTTGCTCTCGCTGTGGTGAGGGTCTCTTTTTTTTAAACTAGAATTAAAGACACTAAACTTCGTTTCTGTTACGTTTTATTATTTTTTTTTTGGAAGAGCATATTTGCTTAGAGGAAGAAAATGAAGAACAAGAGAAGGAGGTATACCGTCCTTTCAACATAGTTTTAATATGTTGCTATTTAAAGGGAGAAAAATGACAAATCGTTACAATCTTGAGTAATTATATTGCGAAACGTGAAAGAAATGACTTTCAAAGTGCTGCGGTTTCAACATCCTCTCTTTCGTTGTTAAACCTTATTAAAGTACATTCAACTTTTTTCCAAAAATAAAGTCCTTGATCAGCACTGCATATATAAGGCTTGGTAACCAAGGAGTGACCATGTTTGAGGTTTTTACTTTCGTGGTTAGTACACTCAGTAGCAAGATCGTCTTTTTCTGTTGGCTAAGATGATAATGCTGATTACCAGGTCAGAAGAGGAAAGAGCTGGAATGTATGAGCGAATGAGAAATGAGATGGAACTGGAGCATGAACAATTGCAGAATATGAGGGAGGCAGGCTTAGGGGAGGCTGAACTGAAACGAAACGCTTTCATTCAAGGGAAACATGTACTAGAAGAGCAGTTACTGGAAATGCAACAGAAAAACGAGGGACATATGAAGATGATGAAAAGGTTGTTAGAAATGATCGCCAAACACCAAAGGGAGAAAATGGAGCTTCGTGAACGAATGAAAGAACGTTCTCAGAGAGAGATCGAAGAGTCGTTGAAGGAACTAAGACGAAGGCAATCAGAAGAGGAAAATGAACTCCTAAAGAAGATGGATATTTTTCAGTACGACAACCTTTCAAGAGGTAAAGAAGATTTTTGCGCCGAGGCAAAAGATGACGAATTTGCAAAAAAGCGGGAGGCGGTTCCTCAGATGATGGCCTCGAGGGCTCAAATGGTTGGCGATCTAAGCAAAAGAATGGAAAATAGCGAAGAAGAGCAAGAATCTATTGTGAAGATGGTCCTTTGTGGTATAGCAAACGTTAGTCCTGCGGCTGGGAAACTAATAGCCCTTTATCCTCCAGCGAGGCCTGATGCCGAAGCAGTCGCCAACGGTATCTCTGGTTTTGCTGATGCTTTGTCGAAAGTTGACTGCCTTATCATGTGATGACGAACACCCCATTTGCTACCATGAAATGAAACGTGTAAACGTCTTCAAAAATTTTTTTTAAATGTTCTTGATAATTTTACTAATCACCACTTAACCGTAGGCATAGCTAATATATAAACGATTATTTAAACCTTTCACTGTCATGTGTGGGGGAAGGCTGTCATCTTTAAAACATCGCCCCTTTTGCGTCAGCTTCAATTGTGTAACAGCGAAACTTAAATGGCACATTTTGCAATTGTGGGAAACTTCGCAGTGGCAACTAAACTTGAGTCTGTAAAATCACAATAAGGATTACATTTTGATTTATTTTTTATTGACTAACTCTTATTTCTAGCATTTTATTATTCCCAAAATGTTTGAGACAACAAGGAAAGGATATACGCTGTGTCTTGCAGTGATACTCTGTTGTATCTTGAGACTAAGCTAAAGCCGTATCCTGTAAAATTGAAGAAAACAATCATTCCGTAAGATTATGAAGCCCCTTCTAATATAAGATTCATGTAAGTCGCACACCCTTCATAGGCCTATGTTCATGAAAAGATATCAAGCACCGACCAAACTAGCCTTCCTTATCTCTAGTGTAAAGTTATCACTGGAATTTTACTGTAGAAGAGGTAAACGCTGTGCTTTGTACGAGCAATTAATTTTTCGCCTCAAGGTGACTGAAACTTTTGCCGATGATTAATTGTGAAATTTTACATTCAAACAGTAGATTAAAAACAAAGGAGGAGAGGTAATATTCCCAAATTTAATTCCCCACTAAAAAAACCAAACCTATCCTTATCCCCCCCGCCCATTTCCTCGCCTTTTTTATATAGCTCAAGGCTGTAACACTTTTCCCGGGAAGTTTTATTTTTCACGATGAATTCCGGCAGGTTTTTATTAACTTTTATGTAAGAGACGTGCTTAAGTTAGAAAAAGCTATTAGTATAGAAAATTTAGGGTTTAACGAATAATTTGATGTGACAGTCAGCATTAGACTCAAATCTTCAATGTTTCCGCTGTAAACTTGTTGCCTACCTTAAATTATGTCCGGCGGTAGCACTTGTTCCCGCAATCTTGTTCAGTCCTGAAGTTGTTTTCATTCCCGCCGCACCCTCCATAAATGAACATTTTGCACTGCCCAACCATCGCGTCAAAATAGTAGCGGGGCATATATGCCCTGCATGGACCCTTTTCTGGTGGCAGACGACAGATATCCTTGGCTTGCACCAAGACTGAAGAAAACATATTTGAAAAGGAAGAAAATATTTACTTTCTGAAATATCGTAAACAATCTAATAGCCATGTCTAGGGATTTAGGCTCCTAATGAACACTTTCTTTATAAATCCCCCTTTCCCTCTTAACATCGGCGTAATTCTTCATTTAGAACATAGAATTGTCAATGATGTTCTTCCATAGGTTGTGAAAGTGGATTCACTACGGTACTGATATCCATTAGGGATTGTTTCGTAAACTCTGCCCCGTTTAGAATCATAACGAACTAGACTTAATCTATAGCCTCGATTAAACTCAACTGTTTAATCCCACTCTCGTATTCACTCAGTTACAACGGGTGTGTATAGAGCTACTCTGCATAATTTGTAACGAAATCACTCTCTCATACTACATTCTCTACATTGTGATTGGTTGTTGCTAAGCACTGATATTGCGTCAATCATGCAAACCGATAAATGTCCCAAAATCACAAAAGGCGGTGCTTCTAGCTTTTGATAACAAATGACAGTCTCTTCAGCTAAAAATTGTTTCTCTTGATATAATGTTTACACTTGTGATCTGATGTGTCATGTACGAAACACAAATTCTCCGACACTTGGTAGTGAAGTGATAACGGTAGTGATTCAGAACAAAACACGCTTCTATTCAAAAGAGAGATCTCTTAATTTCTGGTTTTATCAAAACTATAACAAAATTCTTGAACGCTATTGGTTAACACCAGTCCGATTTGAGCACTAATAGGACAGTGTACGCCTCATGCTTATAATTGGACGGTGTATTGGGACGGTTAAAGAGACAATTAACACGTCATGCTTGTGTAAGGGAACAGAACACGTCACATGCGTGCGCTGTTGTCTCTGTTGTCTGTCTGATTGCAGACAGAATTGGACTCCACTCAGTCCTATTACCATTGTGAATATTGTAAGTCGATCAACGATATGCATTAGCTATCCATATTTAGTTATTTATTGACGATAAACCGGAGGAAAAATCGGCCTCGCAAGGAGAAGTTTAAATTGGCTTCACTCTTCCTTCACCAAAAGGCCCAAAGAATCAGCAAGCAAGGGAAATTTTTGAGCGTTCGCTGTGGTACAAAAAATTTAACAATGATGTCAAAATGAATAAAACCATCTAATGGTTCTCTTGACTTATTTTTCAAAAATGGAGCTGATATTCTTATAGAGACAATGTAATGAATTCTTTCCAATTGTTCTGGCATCTCTATTAAAAGCTGGATAAACAATTTGTTTCAACAATTTGACCTGACAGTCAATAATAAGTCACCATTAGACTCAAATCTTCTATGTTTCTGCAGTAAAAATTGTTACTTTCCTAAATTTATGTCCGGTACCAATATGTTTTGCTTTCTGATGTAATGAAATCATCCCAATCGTTCTGGCATCTCTATTAAAAGCTGGATAAATTCAACTAAATCGTTAGTTCTTTTAGAGACATTAATCTACTTACCAGAGCTGATGAGAATGACGATGAGCAAAATTTTCTTGTCCATTATGTGATGTTTATCAAGCAAAATCTTTGAAGAAAGCACAAAACAGAAAAGTTATCAATTAATATACGCGTTCTGATTGGTTCATCAAGTACCTACCCATTTGCTGGGGGATGCAAGACGCTGTTACCAAAATAAAAATTAAAATAAGGCAAAAGCTCGCATGTACGCCTTTTTTTATAATACTTACTATGTTCATATACTTAAAGCAATACTTTAAGCTGCAAACGTTTACATTCTAATTCCTTCGATTTCATGACCTATAAGAGGTAAATAAATCTAAAGAAGTTATGAGGCAAAGTTAACTACACCCACACCAAAACAAATTTTTTAAATTGCCTCAGAATCGTACGATTATACAAGGCAAAATCTAAAATAGAGAGGTAGTTGAGCGATTTACTAAATTTTAAGATGTAAAAACGAAGACAGTACGACTTACTGCTCTTGAAAGAACTCTCTTCCTTCAGTATCTTGACTTGAAGCAATAAATGAACGTGAACGTGCAGCTGTGGCTCTCTGTGCAGAGGTAAATTGGATGGGTGGCATCATCTCCTTATATAGCCCATTTCACTTCTAAGATCTAATTAATTATTCTCCCTTAAGTCAGGCATACATTTCCTTCAAGAAACGATGAAAGAATTTGAGGTTATATCGAGATGAAATCTTCCAGGCAAGAAAGTGTTTCTTTATTCTCATCTTCTATTTACTGGATAATGTATTTGAGTTGCAAGGAGAATTTGCATGTTTATCACTACAGAGCATAGACATGACTTCAATTAAGGGGAACTTGTTATCAGACGTGACCTTGGAGATGATATCTTTATATTCCATTAAAAAAAAGATCACAATATTCGCAGCGGGATTGTCTAGCCAATAAACATATCTGAAATTAAACCAATGTTTTATGGAACGTAGCCTCTCATGTTAGAAATCGCTGCATTGTTCCCTGATGGTTCACAGGTTAGTTATTTGTGCGCCATTACAATCTACATATCTTCGACAAGGGATTAAAACTTTCCTTACATGTCTTGGATAAAAGATACTCACCTAGCTGAGTACTGATTAATTTGATATTGAAAATTTTAAATTTTTTATTAGTTTTTTAATAAATTTTTAAAAAATCATTTAAATCATTTTTTTCAATAAAGCAATTCTTAAATAAAAAATGGCGACAGAGATGGCAGCAGATGGCGGACGAGAAGCAAGTTTGCAAGCTGCCCGTAAACAGCCTAAAAACAGCGAGTAAAAGGGATAAGAATAGAGCACATTTTGGGGAACAGTAGTAACAGGAGCAAGCGACGAGGCCAAAACCTGCAAAACTGTTTTTCAAAGTGAATGGTCGCAATCCACGAAAATAATTAACCAGCGGCGTGGCGGATCGAAGACAATCAAAACCCAGACAATAATGGATAGACCAAATGAATGCCGACTTATTGTGATGCAAACGAGAAGCAGTGGCCATGACACAGATGGACCAGCCTCCGCTTGATAGCAGTGGTAGGAGAAAAGGCTATATTAAAATTAGGAAAGAGTTATGAGACGCGAAAGGCTACGATGGCTTTGGATTCTCAATTCAGAACTTACGCGATCAAGCGGCAAGACTCGACAAAGCGACGATCAGAGCTTAGATAATATAGCAATGACTTATTAACCCGAGACACATGTAACCAATTCTTCCCAAGAAACTTTTGTTTCTTTGAATGGTTACACGGGAGCGAATTTAGAATTGCACACCACGGATTTATTCAATCGCGAAGATTTACATATGACTAGTTGCGTTCGACGTTAGGAGAACGCTTCGTAATCTTTGGGGATCCTGTGGTCGATGGGATACCTGTGCATGCCAGGCGTGAAGATTCGAGATTTTTGGTTACTTGGACGGGCGATGTTCAAAATCTGCGCCATTTTGAATAATTATTAAGCGCACGCACGAATTTTAAGCCCAATAGCCGGCCAAAGAAATTGCGGGCTCACCTGGTCATAATTAATTTCCTTTATTATGATAACTATTTCTAAATAGAAAAACACATTTTATCATCCCCGTACAACACAGAAAATGTGGTGTTAGATCTATAAATGCATGTTGTGAAAGCTTTACAGTTTCTCTTTCATTTTATACTAAATTTTAGAAGTAGTTCACATTTTCAAAATTGTTTAATAACATAGATTTAAATAAAATTAATGCTTACATTTAAGCACGTTTTCATCTATTCTCTTACTACTTACTAACACTTAACTACCACACCAACTACAGTAAAACTTGTATATGTACACGCCCGATGGACTGCGACGACTGCCTCTTCAAAAACCATACGATATAACTAGCCTTTAAAACCTTTTCGTACACAGAGTAAATACAGGTTTCACAATACGCCATAACCCTTTATTTGACAACATACCATAGGCATATTCATCTATCCTAATAACCAAAAAACAATATTTCCCCTTTGAAATGCCGAACGCACTTCCCTAATCTCCGATTACTACTAGTAATACTCATAACTTCCCATGGGATGAGAAGACAGAGTGAAACGAGAAAAATGCTATGCTTAGATGCCTTCCAGAGTATAACACTGTAAACAAACCATTTATAATTAGGAGGAAACTAAACGATGGCACTGCAATTTTTTAATCAACATCAGATATAATTGAGGCCTATGACGAGATCATAGCTTGGAGAAAGAATGTATTCCTTGTGCCATACGACAGAGTAGGAAGGGATTTTATTTATCAAATTAGCCTGCATGTCAGTGAGTGGAATAACAGCCCTGACAACCAGCACGTCACTGAAAGCCGCCTTTGTACTCCTCTCTGTCGCATTTCAAAAGCCAAGCCCTAAAGTCTGAGGCCAAACACCATCAAGAAGTGCTATCTAAACGTCTTGTTCTCTGGAAGGATGGCGAGGTCGAGAAGTTAGTACGCGATGAGAGGACTATTCAGAGTCGCATTGGAAAACTCAAGTCTTCGGACCCGCCTAATAGATCGAAGGTCTTTGCTAAGCTAGTGCTAATTTTTAAAATTATCTTTAAATTATTTTTCTTAATTTTTTTTTTAATTATTTTTTAATTTTCTTTTAACAATATTTAAAATTATTTTTTAATTATTTTTAATTATGTTTCTTAAATATTTTTTTAAGTTATTTTTTAATTTTCTTTCAACAGTTTTTTAATTATTATTTTTTTAAATTTTGTTTAATTAGTTTTTTTACCTATTTTTAAGAGATATTTTTAAATAATCTATTTTTAATTTTTTAATACTAAACTAGTAAGAAGCACTCTCCGAACAATAGCTGTAAAACTTCCTTATTCTCCGATGCGTTTCGTCAACCTGTCGTAGACTTCTTCAGGGAGTTTTACGGGGGCCAATGACCATGAAGGCTTCTCTGAACATACGAACAGGAACAGGCGAAGTCGTGAGAAATTTGAAAATTTCTCGGGTAAGGTGAGAAAAATATTTGGGGGCCACGGTTTTTAGTTAAAACCGTGGCCCCCAAATATTTTTCTCAACTTGCTCAAAAAAATTTTCAACTTTTTCACAACTTCGCCTGATCGATGATTGATGTATTATTAGCAAGGATGAAACAATTCCCGTTCGATGATATGGTTACTCTGTGGTAGAAATAAAATATATCCTAAAAGTTTAATCAGGTTCGATTATTTCTCTATAAAAAAATTTAATTTACGAAAGGTATCTGATGAGTCTTTTGGCCGAAACGAAACGCCGCGTCATACCAGCCACGAAGTGTTCACAGGTATTTGACAATTTTTTTATTGTATATCTTGTCACTCGTGAACAAGTGATTGGGAACCTCCTGCGAGAGAGGGCCAGACTGCTAATATCTTGACTTCGCGGACCGGACTTTGTGCGCGATGCTTGGCGAGTTCGATTTCAATCTACGAAAGGTATCTCATGAGTCTCTTGGCCGAGACGAAACACCGCGCTATACCAACCACGAATTTTCCACAAGTGTGCAAAAAATAAATAAAAAACCGGCAATGTAACTTAGTTTCATACACATGTACCCCTTAGAAACCATAGCTTTTCGATTAGGCCTTAAAGCACTGAAATTTTATCAAATTTCTCGACTAACCTCTATACAATAATTAAAACAGTGCAAATATAAAACGTATGCTGCTGATCAGTAATTTCATCCTGGTTACATTTTCCTAAGCAACTTCCTTTCAGTCAAGCGCAAAAAATCTCTTAACCGATTTACATCTATTCGTGATCACGATGTCGATCTCGGATGACTCTTACCTGCCGATATCTTGTTATTATCTATCTTCTTACGTAATATAAAAAAGAGAAATTTTCCTCGGACTAATGAGTATTTTATTTGCCATAGAGTAAGAAAAATCGGAGATCTATTCAAACAAATTTTCATGACGTATTTTTCTCAGAACAATCCATTGAGACTTTCTCAAAGTAGTCCTTATCAACACAGTATCATGCATATGCATGTGGTATTATGTATAGCAGTTGAGTTTGACTGGGATATCTGAGGAAAGTAATTCTCCGTTGTTGGTAATATGTACCGGCTAAAAACGTTCAATAAACCTTTACTAATTCACTAAAGTACTTTTACGTTATCAACTCAGTTGATAATACTAAATTACCCTACTTATTATCACCTGAGAGTATTATTTTCAACCCATGGGACCAAACTCAACCGAGTACGCCAAGTGACCACAGGAAAGATCGACCGAGTGAACTTCTACCACTTAATGTAGTATTGTTTGCGGCTAGAAAGGAATAACAAGCGCACATATCTGTGGTGCTGTGTCACTGGGCTGTTGTTTAAACGGATAACATGTCGCGATTTCAAAGCATAAACTCTTCTCTAAACTGTTACTTAAAATTGAGTCATCTGTTCTGACGATAGTCTTAAGTTATTGTTCATGATCAGTTTCGCAATTTAGAAGACAACAAAGAGTCTAAAGACTGTAAGTCTTGCCAGACTTAGAGTTTTTATATAATTGTTAAAATCAATAAAAAAAACTGGCCATTGAAGCTCACCCTGTTGGATTGCCAGAGCCAGAATCTAAAAGGTTAAAGACAAATACAAATTTGTATGTCGAAAGTTAAATGATCCTAATTCGGTAATGGAGAGCGTAACTGATCATGATAAGCAAGTTCTTGTATCAATCTAACATAACTTGGCCTCACATAAATCGATAGCCATTCACCGATCCTGAGCTCCCAAAGTACGCAAATGAAAAAATATTTCGGTTCACTCAACACTTTGATTCTACACAATGGTTTTAATAAAAGAGGCTTACTAAAACTGCTTACTTGGCAAGGAGTGGAATGTGTTGAATAGTAATTCAAGAAAGAGTATGAAAGTATTGATTTCCCCAAAGATGTCGCAGGAAAGCTTGAATAAGTGCTTTTTGAAGATTAGAAGTCTTAGTGAAGGAACACCAGGAATATCTCTACAAGCACAAACGAAACAACACAGCTTAAAAATACCGACTGAACTGATGTGTAACTCAAAATGTTGC